TTAAGTATGTTTCTGGCATATAGCATCTTGTTGGATTGTGTTTCCTAATCCACTGTGCCAGTCTATTTCTCTTAATTGGTGAATTGAATCCATTTACATTGATGGTTATAAATTGAGATGTATTGATTTATGTTTGACATGTTATTCACCTGCTGTTGCTTACTCCTTTTTCTCCTGTGTTTGTTTGCCCTATTTAATGGGTTCCTTCTATTCCCATTCGTGGAGTTCTGATCATTTTGGTCACTCTCTAGAACATCTTTTAGTAGTCTGTGTAGGGTTGTCTTTGTCATCATGAAATTCTTTAGTTGTTCTTTGTCATGGAAGTATTTCACTTCTCCATCAAACTTGAAAGAGAGTTTTGCAGGGTGTAGTAGTCTGGGCTGGAATTTGTTTTCATAGAGGACTTGTAGTACTCTGCTCCATGCTCTTCTTGTCTTCATGGTTTGTGAAGATAAGTTGGCCGTAATTCTAATGGGTTTTCCTTTGAATGTGATCTGCTTTTTTTCTCTAGTAGCTTTCAAGATATTGTTCTTGTGCTGGATTTCTGGGATCTTGACTATTATATGTCTCAGTGTGTTTTTAATTGGGTTGAAGTTATTTGGAGTTCTTTATGCTTCGGTTACCTGAATGTCAGATTGCTTCCTCATATTTGGGAAGTTTTCTGTTAGTACTTCTGCCCATATTCTTTTTATATCATTTGTATTGACTCCTTCTTTCTCATTAATGCCTATTAGTCTCACATTGTTAATTCTTTTTTTTTTTTTTTTTGCAGAACCGGGGATTGAACTCAGGCCCTTGCGCTTGCCAGGGAAGCGCTTATTCCACCATGCCATCTCCCCGGCCCCCGTTGTTCTTTCTTGCATCGTCTTGCAGGTGATGAATTATTTTTTCCTGCTTCCTAGTTGTTTTTAAGAGATCTTGTCTTATCTTTTCACTAGCTGCGACAGCATCTTCAAGATCTAAAATTCTATCTTCACTTTCACTCAAACAGTATTGCAAGCTTGTGATTGAAATTTTAAGTTCCTCTATATGTCTTTGACTCTGCTTCATGCGATCCATTTCTTTCTTGTATTGCTCATTCAAGGATTCCATCACTTTTCTAATCTATTTTTTTTTATCAGTGTCTTCTTGAGAAGCAGTTATTAATTCTTTTACTTCAGAGATTATTTCTGATCTGATTTCCTCCATATGTTTCTGCATTTGATTCTTTACTTTAGACCCTATTAATTCAGAGATTCTTTTTTTTATTTTGGAGATTAATTCTGATCTGAGTTCCTCTATACATTTCTGCTCTTGTTTCTTTAGTTCAGATGCTATTAATTCATGCATTTCAGCTGAGCTAGTGTCCTCTGCACTTGTTCTGGGTGGGCTTGAGCCCTGAGATTGCATTTTGCTCCTCTTTCTCATTTCATGTAGCACTGACCTCTGACCTTTGGTGTAGTTATAACCTTAGCACTTACTGAAATTAAGGTGCAGATCTATTAAGTTTGAGTTTATCCAGTTGTGCATGGTTTAGATCTAACTGTTGTGCTCAGCTCCTTCCTGCTGCAGCTCTTGGAAGTGAACCTGTTGTGCCCATCTGTTTTGCCCCTGGCCCAGGGGGCGCAGGGGAGCACAGAAGCTCCCCCACACACTAGCAGGGCCTGGGCTTGGGCTGGGTCTGGGGGGTCCTGAGATTGTGGCAGAAGTTCTCACTCACTTGGTGGGCTTTGGCGATGGGCTCCAGATGGTTGGAGGGGTCCCGAGGGCGTGGCAGAGGGTCTCACGTGGCATGCCTGGGTTTGGTCTGGAGGTCCCGCGGGGGCACGGGAGCGGGAAGCTCTCCCACACACTCGCCAGGCCTGGGCTTGGGCTGGATATGGGGGGTCCTGGATGCACAGCAGAAGTTCTCACTCACTTGGTGGGCTTGGGGGGGGGCCTCTGGAGGGGTCCCGAGGGCATGGCAGAAAGTCACTCCTCAGCACATTGCTTTTTATTTTTATCAGTTTTGTTGAAGTGTAATTGAATTCCACTGTTTCACTATTTGGGTGTGCACTATTAGTTTTGCTGAATTTAGAGTTTTGCACTAATCACCTTCATGATGTAGTTTGAGAATATTCTATAACTGCATACGGACCCCAAAGGCCTATAGTTTTAGTCAGTCTTTATTGCTAGCTCCAGTCTCAGCCAACCTTGCTTTTTCTACACTTTCTTTTTTTAAAAATTAATTTTATTGAGAAATAAATAGCAATGAGACAGTTTCAAAACTGATTAATAGTACAGTTTCGATAATTAATACATTGCATGTTGTTGTCTTCTTAGTGGTCATTCATAATACAAGATGCAGACATGACATCCTGTCCAAACACAATTAGTATAAATCTTTCTTCTCCTTGAATAAGAGAAAGTAGCTGTATATCTATCCTATTTTGTATATACAAATACAAAATGATCCTTCCTTTGTATCCCCTTTTTTTGGCTTAGTTTTGTCAGAGATGGGTATTCCAATGCCATTTAAATATTGTAGGTGTGTGAATTCAGCAAAATATTCCAATATAGTCCTGTAGTCTATAATAATGGTGGGTTTATTTATTTATTCATTTTCCCAGAATGTTAGGAAATATTTTATTGGCAACCAGGGACACAGCCATAAGAGAAGGAAGAACACAGGAGTGCAAAATAAAACCCAGTAGCCAGCAAAGGCCCTTTGGGCCAGCAGCACTGTGTCCTGGGGGCCTCGCTGTTGTCCACCAGTAAATACACAGCACAGGGCAGCCACGACAGGAGGCAACGGTCTTGTGTCCCAGCCAGTGACAGGATGTATACTTTGCTGTGAGTGACAGGGTGAGGAGATACAGAGGAGGGAAGGCTCGTCATTGCCTGAGCCACCTCCTCCTCTCTCAGCCAGCCCCAGGTGGAGGACAGAGCCCCCTAGAGCCTTGCAGTCAGCTGCAGGATTCCATTCCTGTTTGCAGCTCTAGACGAGCTGCTGCTGTTGTGGCAGGCTCCCGCTCTCTCCTCGACATGCTCCTTGACTCGCTCCACCTTGTCTGTGGGTTCCATGTCAGTCTCAATCTCCTTTCCAGTCTTCACTTTAATTAGCATCTTCTTCCCTGGTTGACGTGCTGAGCGTAGATTGATGTGATTCCCACTGCATTTAAAGCTTCAGCTTCCCAGCACACCCTATTTAATTTTTAAAAAGTATATACTTTTATTTTTTTTAAATGTTTAATTCATTTTAATGAGAAAAAAGATAAAATAGCAATGAAACAGTTTCAATACAGGTTAGTAGGACAGTTACAATAATTAACACATTGCATATTGTCTTCATAGTAGTTATTCAGAGGACAAGATGCAGACATAATATCTTGTCTAAAAAATATTAGTACAAACCTTTCTTCTTATTGAACTAAAGGAAAGTAGCTTTATATGTATCCTATCTTGTATATACATATATATTTATTTTTTCACTATAAAATGGTCCTTTATTTATATCCCCCTTTTTTGTTTTGTTTTGTCAAAGATAGGTGTTCCATTGCTGTTAGAGAGGCGTCTCTTCTGGATGTTTAACAACTAAAATTTGCAGACCAAAAATTAGACAGATAGATGGGCCAAAAAGATAGCCAACATTTTGACCCTAGCCCTTCAAGGTCACTGAGAACTCAGGACATAACAGAACCTTTGCTGTGATATCCTGTAACTACATTATGTCCCAAATTTTCTGATCAAGGAGATTATGGGGCCACAGAGGAAGGTGATTGATGATGTAGAGTGTGCCTAAGGAGAGTCACATGGAGAGAAAACATTCTCTCAGGTTTTCATAGAGAGCAAATTGGTCAACCAATGGCTGTGACTCGTCCAGATGGCTGACACTGACAAAAGATCCACAGGGTACTGTGCATGGTTCCAAGGTAAATCCTGAGGGGATTTGACTGTCCTTATCAGATAGCAAAAGTTACATTTTTAGATAGGCCTTGCTTTAACTTGGTCTTGACTATCCAGCGGAAAAGTGTAGCCACGAGGTATAAGAAGTAAAGCTATATTAATATGCTGAGCTGTAAAAGGCTCAAGTCAACAACTTCGGACAATTGCTGGGTGTGCTGGTAGCTCACTACTATTATCAACTATTGGACTACATTGGATTATTTTGCTTAATTGAAGTACCTACAATATTGGGACTGGCATCAGGTGTGAAATGGTCCTTAACACACTATTTTTTAGATAGTTTCTGTAAACGGACTGGTACAATATAGAAGCTTTTGTGTCTGGTTTCTTTCAGTTAACACATTTTTAAATTTGTCTTTTGTGAAGTTCCATTTTGTGTAAATTCTGTGTGCAGCGTACGTGGCATTAATTTATCTGCTCACTATGGATGTACACTGGTGGTGTTTCCAGTTTTGGTGCGCACTGTGGACACACGTTCACACTGTGGACACACGTTCACATTTCTGTTGCATAGATTCCAGTAGAATTGCCAAGCTGTTGGGAAAATTCGTATTAAAGAAACTGCTAGGTCGTTTGTCATGCTGGCCATAGCCTTTCACATTCGTCCCGGTCATCAAGGAGGGCTCCGGTTCCCCCACGTCTTTGCCTTTCCTCATATTTTGTTTTAGAAATTTCACTTCCACTTGAATTACAGTTAAATGGAAAAGACCCCTCTGTGAGGCAGCAGGAGCCTGGAGCCCCAGCCAGGTGAAGTGTGCGCGATTTTCGCTCAAGTCACGGCCTCAGTAATTGGGAAGAATTGATTTAAATGTTACTGAACTAGGCTCAGGTGCCCCGGGGGTGTGCGGTGCTTGGTTCAGGATGACTTACAGCAGGTTCTTTGCAGAGCACCCCTCATCCAACCTCGCACTGCGTTGTCGGTGCCGTCTGAACTTTCAGGACATGACCGCTTTCCTTCAAAGGAAGAGCGCTGGTGGCTGGGTGCTCCGAGGGGTCGGGACCCTGAGCACTGGCACCCCGGCTTCTTTATTTCTCCCTCGCAGCCTGGAATGAAGTCGTTCTCTCTTTCCTTCCAGATCGTGCACAGGACTCTGGCGGCCATGCTGGGAGCCCTCGCCGCGCTGGCAGCTCTGTCTGTGATTGGCGACGTGAGTGCAAAGGTGGAAGCCGCTTGCTTCCCACGGGGTGCGCTGTCTGACCTAAGGGATCTTTCTGGGGTGATTTCAATTCCTTTATGTGCTACTCCCATGCTTTTGTGTAGAAACCACACTTAGAGGTGTGAGCTGACAACAGCAGCGGCGCAGTGACGAGCGCTTTTCATTAGATTTCATCCCGCACACGCCCAGGTAGTTTGACACCCCATTGTGGCTGGAGGAAGCCTCCCCGTACTCCTGTGTTGCCCTCGTCTGTGTGGCTCAGCAGGGCCAGGCTGCACGTGGTGTTGTCAGCGCTCAGAAACTACGCTAAGCTGGAGCAGAGAAGGGGTGCATGGGGTGGCTGGGACTCATCTCGGAGACAGCAGAGCTTCTGGGGATGCATGAATGGGGCTGGCGGTGTCTCATCAGAGCCCAGGTGTGGTCCCTCTGGCAGGGCCTGGGGCGTACGTGCAGGGAGATGAGAGAAGCCCAAGCCAGGCATCCCTGGAAACGGCCTTGGAACTGAGTGAGTGCACGTCCCGCGTGACAGCGCACGGGCCTGGGACTGAAGACCGCTCTGTGGAATCTGATGGCTGCTCCGAGAGGTGGGGCTGCCCGCCAGCTCAGAGTCATGGCTCGTAACAAGCCTGTCTGGGAGGCAGGTTGAGTTAGTTACGGTTTTTTAATTTAAATTTTCAACCTTGCCTGGAAGTAGTAAGAATTTGAAGTTATTTATGGCTACAGTTGGTATAAAACATGTTAATCATAAAGATAAATTTAGACATAAACCAGTTAGTTTTCTTAATGATTGATGAATAGAGTAGTGTGGGTTTTTTTTTTGCCCATTAAATGTAATTTGATGATTTTAAATTATATTTAATTTTGGTAGCACTGTTTGCAGTGTAGTCAGTGTTTTTTAAAAAAATTTTTTATTCATTTTAATGAGAAAAAAGATAAAATAGCAGTGAAACAGTTTTAGTACAGGTTAGGACAGTTACAATAATTAATACATTGCATGTTGTTGTCTTCGTAGTAGTTATTCAGAGGACAAGATGTAGACCTGATATCTTGTCTGACCAATATTAGTACAAACCTTCCTTCTCATTGAACTAAAAGAAAGTAGCTGCATGAGGTATAAAAAGTAAAGCTATATTAATATGTCGAGGTATAAAAGACTCAAGTCAACAGCTTTGGACAATTACCAGTTGGGCTGGTAACTCACTACTGTTATGGACTGTTGGACTATCTGGGGTTATTTTGCTGAATTCAGATACCTGCAGTTTTGGACTGGCATCAAGTAGGAAAAGGTCCTTTAGACTTCTTCAAATACAGCTTCTCTAACAGCAACAGAATACCCACCTCTGGACCATTTTGTAGTGAAAGAAATCCAAGTATATACAAGGTAGTTAGGATAAATCTGTTTTGTCTCGAAAGTCACTAACAAGAGCGCGGCAGTCGCATGCTGTGGGCCTCTTGCCGGCAGTGCCCTTCCCAAAGCCAGGTCTTGGCAGGGTCTTCACCCCCCACTCTCTGCGCCCTTCTGACTTGATGCATCTGTCACAAAATTCCTGGTGCCTGCCATTTAAAGGAAGGAAGGGAGGTTTGTTTTGACTCATGCTTTCAGGCCACAGCTGACTGTCTAGGGCGCAGCAGAGGAGAGCTGCGGCGCTCTTGGAAGCCAGGAAGCAGCGGGAACAGGGAGGAGCTAGCGGCAAGAACACAGCTGTGAGGGTTTTCGTCTGGACGGCCCCCCAGCTTCATGCACTCAGGAGGGTTGGGCTTCTCAGAAGGGGCTGAATCTGGAGTTGGTGACTGAGTCAGGGTCCTGGTGGGATTAAGCACGTGAGTGCTGCACCTGCCCTAGGTAGCTGCGTGCCCTGTAAGGGTTGGAGAGGGTTGGGCTTCTCCTTCTCATTTGGCGCTTTGCCACAGTCGGCCACCACGAGCTGTCCTCCGCCAAGCCACCCTGCCTTGCAGTGGCTGACTGCAGACTGAAGCCTCTACAGACTGTGCTACATCAACTTTTCCTTGCTTAACTTTGGCTCTCGAGTATCTTGTCTCAGCAACGAGAAAGGACACCAAGGCAACATGCTTCAGGTGACACCCCCAGTGACACATCTCCAACCAAGACCCACCTCTGACATCAGGTTTAGCTAGGAGCTCATTGGTAGCTTAGCCCAGTGACGGCCAGGACGTCCATGGTGCACTCACCTTCGGCGACATGGGCTCTGGGGACACATTCTAGGTCTGGACTGCCACCGTCCAGCCTGGCCTCCAGAAGTCTCATGTCCACCTTAGTGCCCAAAATGCATTCAGTCCATCTCTAAGTATCGCTGAGGAGGTCTTAGTAGTTCTCATGTTGTTGAAAAGTCTCAGTCCAAAGTCTCTTCTGACACTCAAAGCAAACTCTTGGCTGTGAGCACTATGAAAATAAAAATGAAAATTAAACCCCTCCTGTGTGGAGTGGCACAGGGTAAGCATCCCTATTCCAAAAGGGCAAAAGAGGTGAACGGAAAGAAGTGGAGCCAAAGCCAGCCTGGAGCCCAGCAGAGTCAGTCCTGCTCACCTAGCTCCTTGCAGGAGGGTGCTGGGTGAGATGCAAGTTCCAAGGGGCTCGCGTGGCCTGCTCACGGGACAGCTGCTCACAGGACAGCTGTGACCCTCCTGGGGCAGGCCACTCGCTCCCTGACGGCTCTTGCTACATCCTGGCAGCCTGTTGGCGATGCCTTCTGGGTGACGGGCAGCACTTTGGGTTCCACTCCCAGGCTCACGGCGCCCTCTCTGGGGTTCCTTGCCTGTCCTCCTAAGCCTTCTTTTGAAATTAGGTGGAATCTCCCTGACCCCACAACTCCTGCCTCTCGCACAGCCGGTAAGGCAGCACCACGTGGTGCTGTCGAGGTGTGAGGCCAGCCCGAGCGGCAGCGGGGCAGGTTCCTTGGATCACGGCTGCAGCGGCTGCTGAGCGCCCAGACGGTCGACCTCCGGGGCCCTAGTGGGAGAAGCACCGTGGGGATCCCTTCTCAGATACTGTAGCTTTATAGCAGCCTTGGGCCTGTGAAGAGTGCGGTTTTGATTATTCCTAAAATACCTTCGACCATCTTTCCTTTTTCCTGGTTCAAGGTCCCTGGCTTCTTTTAACACTAATCTCTCTGGCAACTATTCTCTTTTGCTGAAACTCTGCAGGTGAAACTGGAAACTTATCAGATGGGATTTTCTCTGCTGATTTTTGTAGTGGATCTGGCTAAAAGCAACCAACAGCACCCTCCACAGCCCGAACGTTGGGCTATTTTGAAGTCTCTTCTGCCTGATCAGTTTGCCACCCTTAAGCTCAGTCTCCTGCAAAATCTTAGAATTTTGGCAAAACACAGACAGGTTTTCTGCCACTGCGCTCTGCACATGCCCCGTGCGTGGGCTCTGACAGCGGCTGTGCTCTCAGCTGGAGCCTCCTGAGCCCGGCCTGCTGTCTGTGTCTCTGTCAGCATCCTGGACCTCTGCGCTCGGATTGGCATGGCATGCCCACCATGCGTACGTTCTCCTGCTTTCCCAAACCTTGCCAAACTCCTGTAAACAAATTCAGACGGCTTCTAAACCGCTTGTCAAGTACGGACACGGCAACAACCCCACTTCCCTGGCACCAGAATCTGTCTTAGTCACTTTCTTGTCTCTGGGACAAAATGCTTAGCACATGAAACTTAAAGGAGGAGAAGTCTATGGGGACTCACAAGTTCGGCCGTGCTCAGCTGGCTCCAGGCCGTGCTGTCCTGGTGGAAGAGGATGGCAGTCAGCAACCAGAGCGAAAAAGGAGAAGCTGGGGCTAGAAGCACCCTTCCCGGCCACCCCCCAGTGACCCTCCTCCAACCAGGTGCCACCTGCTAGCATCACATGTAGCTGTGAAGTCTTCAGGGATGAGTACAGCAGCCTGTGACCCAGTTACCTTTCACACTCCTGGGGATTTGTGGTGGCATACTTGTGGCAGGTGTCGTTGAAGGCTCTGAAAGATTTGCCACTGTGTGGACCTTGAGAGTAGGGGCACATGGGGGCAGGACAGGAGACTGTCCAGGAGGCTGTCACCTGGCCTTGGCCGTTACATGGAGAAAGGCGTATGCGGACCCTGCTGGGGAGATAACTGCCATCAGCTCGGTGCTGCTGTAACAAAATGCCTGAGATAAGCAACTGGAAAAGAAGCGTTTATCTTGGTTCGGGTTTTGAAGTTTTGGTTCACAGCTGGCTGGCTCTGCCGCTTCTGCCTTGTAGCGGGCAGGCGTCTCTGCAGGCGCGTGTGGCAGGGAGCTGCTCAGCTGGGGGAGGCCGGCAGCAAACAGGAAGAGGCTGGCAGCGCACAGCCCCCTTCTAGCCTCCTGCCACCTGGCCTCCTGTGCGCCCACCACTGCCCAGCAGCACCAGGGGCTGGAGAACAAGCTCAGGCAGGCCTTTGGGGGATGCTGCAGCTTCAAACTGTGGCCTTAGCCTCCAGGGCCGGCCCTGCCATTCAGGCAGTATTCTTCCTAACGGTTCCAGGTTTTTATTATGTTATTACATAGGTTTGACAGTTCAGATGGAGTAAGTCATAAATTTTTTCAGCAATGGTATAATCCAATTTCAAAAACATGCAGATGGTGTGCTTTCAGCTTTGGTCCAGTGAGTGCATTTATAGTAAAGGGCAGCATATTTTCAAGCTTATCCCCACGAGGGTAGTCACAGGATTAATTGCCAAATTTGTGCTTTGATTGCAGAGACCCAGCCTGACGCAGGTGGTGGAGTGGATAGATTTTGAAACCCTGGCCCTGCTGTTTGGCATGGTAATTATAACCCTCCTAGCAGGACCTCACGCCAGGCCTGCAGAAACACCGGTCCTGTTCTGCTGCTGCTGCTGCTGACAATCTTATTCTATTAAAGATGCTGTGTCTCTTGACAGTGAGGACATGACTGAGAAAAGACAGCACTAATCCAGCTACTTTCCTCAGAAGGAAGAGTAGTGAGCGATGCTTCGACTAGTTAGCTGGGGAGCTTAAAGGCGAAGGCCTGTGGGACAATGGGGCGGGCTGCCTTAGGAAAAGGCAGCGTCTTGTAGGGTTCTTGCTCCTAAAATAAAAAAGGCATGTCCCCAAATAAGTGGACCTCATAAAAGTTTACTGGTTAGAAAAGCACTTTTAATTATATAAGGACTAAACTGACGCTGACAGCTTTTGTGTTGGCTAATTTATCACATGGTCCAGGGGCCGTGCTGCTGCGCGCTGTGAGGCGGTCTCCAGGCCAATTCGTGTGACTCAAGTTCAGCGCCAAGGCGGATGAGCGTGGAACAGCTGTCAGGAGCCAGCTGAGCTAGGACAAGTGGAATTTGGCGAGGGCCTAGACAGTGGTGGCTGACTCGTGCGTTCTTCAGCAGACTCCCAGATAGTCTAGGGGTCTGAAAGGGAGTTTGTCTCCTTGGGCCAGAAAGCTCCCTCTGTGTAGAGCAGGTCACTGTGTGTCCTCGCCAGCCCTGAAGTTGAGAGATATGTGGAGAGTCCTGTAGCCAGACACCATCCTAAACAGAGGCCTCCTGGAAGAGCTAATTACTGTTTCTGTTGAGTGCTGAGAAAGAAGCATATGGGATTTGGGCATCTGGATAGAAGAAGAGAAAGTTCAGAAAATGTAAGTGAGTGATGTGTTGGTTTGCTGGCACAGCCATGCAGGGCAGCGTGACCGTGAGAACGGATTTCCACCCTTCAGCAGCACAGGAAGGCTGAGGTCGCGGTGTCAACAGAGGCAGCTCCCCCGGGCTCTCTGTGCGTGGCTTGCAGCTGGTTGTCCCCTCACGGGTCCTCACAGGCCATTCTCTAAGTGCGCTTGTGTCCTGTGCTTTCCACCCTAGAATGACACTGGTTATGCTGCGTCGGGTCACGAGCTGTCTTCCCCGGTCTTCTCATTTTAATTTAATTGCCCCCTTAAAAGCTCTGTCTCCAAGTGTATATTCTGAAATGTGGAGGGTTAGGATATCAACATATGCATTTGGTTGGGGGGGTGGCAGTTGAGCTCATAAAATGGCCCAGTGTACTTTTAATTGGAATTGGTTCACCAAGAACTTGCAGGCCCCACAATTCTAGAATAATAGGGGTGCACAGAAAATATACACGCCAGTTCTCTTCCTTTTCTACCTTATTTTCTGGCAGTCAAACACCCATGGGGCCATTTACCCCAACCCCAAGTTCTGGCCTCCCTTGGGGTTCTGTCAGCCAGCAGGGAACAGGTCCCTCGGCAGTACAGGGCCACAGAGGCCTCCACACTCGCTTCACACTCGCGCACGCCCAGGCGAATCTCCTCATGTGTGCAGCACGCATTCTGATAACGGCCCTACAGCCGTCTTTCAGGTTAGGATGAACAGCAAGGCTGCCCTAGACAAGATAAATGTCTTTCTCTTGTGCAGTTTATTATGCCTGCTATTCATAAAGTACTTTATTTTATGTAATTTTATAGAATGTTTGCAACTATCTGTCAAGGTACAAAACATTCAGAGGTGAGGTGAGAAAACTGAGGTTCAGAAGGGTTAAGGGTTCTTTTGTCTCAAGGCCGAATTCCTCCTAAGTGGCAAAAGCAGGCATTTAGTCTATGAAGCCCTCACGTTCAGCATGTGACGAGGGTGGAGTCTGCTGGGCCCCAAGGAGGGCGAGGCTTTCAGCGACTGCAAGTGGGAAGGGAGGCATCACCGATGGTAAACTTGAAGCGATTAGGTGGTGATGCGTTTCACCTCTCGTGAAGCAGAGATTTAAGTCAGCAATGACTGACTCTTTACTTTTTATTCGTAGTGAAGATCTTTGCATACGCTGAATCCTTCCCGTCGGTAGATCTAAGACTTCTGGGTTCATGGAGAGCTGGGAGGACACTAACTTCAGTGCAGTCACCTTGCTCGAATGTGTTGAGCACCTTGACAGCAAAATTAGTTTGTTTACTTTAGGAACTGAAATGTAACCCAGTTTTAAAATCCTGAGGTGGGGGGGGGCGGGGAGATGGCTCAGTGGAATAAGTGCTTCCTGGGCAAGCACAAGGGCCTGAGTTCAATCCCCAGTTCCGCCAAAAAAAAAAAAAAAAAAAAAAAAAAGTATAGTAGAAAAATTATTTTGGATAAATCCTGAGAGTACTTGGCTGACCTTATCAGATACAAAAGGTACATTTCTTGGTATATCGGTCTTGCTATATCTTGGTCTTAACCATCCAGAAGAAAAGTATAAAAACGAGGTATATAAAGTAAAGCCATATTAATAGGCTGAGCTGTAAAAGGCTCAAGTCAATAACTTCTGAGGATAACCCACTAATACTATAGACTGCTAGAGAGTGTTAGATTGTTTAGTTGAATTGAAACACCTACAGTATTTAGATGCCAATAGAATATTCACCTCTGACAGGACAAAAAAAAAATAAAAGTAAAAATTAAAAAAAAAGATACAAAGGAAAGATCATTTTGTATTTATATATACAAAATAGGATAAATTTACAGCTACTTTCGCTTAACTCAATGAGAAGAAAGAGGTGTACTATTAGTGTTTGTACAGAATATCTTGTCTGCTTCTTGTACTATGGATAACCACTAAGAAGATAACAATGTGCAGTGCATTGACTATCAGAACTGTCCTATTAATTAGCTGTGAAACTGTCTCATTCATATTTATTTCTCAATAAAAAAAAAATTCTGAGATGTCCCAGTGTTGCCCATGTGGACTGGCAGATGTGGAAGGCCGTCTGTTGCCCGGTCTCCCCCAGCTGCCAGCTTTGAGACCGAGCAAATCACCTGCCTCCCTGATTCCTAGTTTCCTGGTCTACAAGATGGAGAGTGATAATGGGAACGTAAGGAGTAGGAATAGCGTGCGATGTCTGTTGTGAAGATGAAATGAGATGGCCATGTGCCTTGGAGACAAGTTCCTGGGCAGAAACACAGGCGGCTCGCCGGGGCATCCGCTCAAGAAGCCAGTGAGTGGACAGGCTAGGAGGCTGCCTGCCAGCAGGACGCCCAGGAGCTTGGTTACGCAGCCTTCCGGGCCAGAGCTCGGCCGCGACCAGTCAGTGCGACTTGTTTCAGTGCAGTGCTCTGCCTAAATCATTTCCTCTCTCCTTTGTCTCTTTCCCTGTAGATGATACTAGTAGCTGTATTTTCAGAAACGGGGTTTTTCGATTATTGTGCTGTAAAGGTAGGTACAGTGTGCATTTAATCATTATGTTTTAATGAACTGATATAATCATAGTTCTATGAATTTTAAAGTATCGTTGAAAGCAAATACTTTAAAACTTCACCCTTTTCAAAGTTGCTTTTGCAAGACCGTGTGTAGCTGTTGTGCGAAGCGCAGCTTTGAGCCACGCTTCCTATTTCTCCATAAAGGAAGCTGAAGATCAAGGGAAAGGACTCAGGCTGAGTGAGTGCACGTTGCTGAGCTGGCTGGCGAGAGCGGCACAGAACACACTGTCTCGTACGTTACGATCTCTGAATATTTCAGGCCACTGGCTTCCGATTACTTTGCTTTTTGGTAAAGAATTTCAGTGCTTACTCTCTAAATGTGTGATGCAAACATTACACACTCACCATGTCTAAATTAGGGGGAAATGTGTTGGTTTTCAAAATCCCTAGGGCTCTTATTTATTTGTTTATATTTTGGTGCTGAGGATTGAGCCTTGGGCCTCGGGCACCTCCAGCACGTGCTCTACCCCGGGCTCCACCCTCTTCTTAGAACACAATGAGGCTGATTAACATTTCTATCATTTTGATCACGATTTTTTATGGTGAGACATTCGAAATTCACTGCTAGTTATTTTGAAATATTTACTCCCTTGTATTAATTGTAGCCATTGCACTTATGCCGTGTGTTCCAAACCGACTCCTTTCATCAGCGTGCAGCTTTGGACCCTCGACCAGCAGCTTCCTTCCCTTCCTCCCAGTTCCATCCTCTGGTGACCGCCTCTGTTCTCTACCTGTACGAGGTCAAATTTGTAAGGTTCCACGAATGAGGGGCCGCTGCTTCTCTCTGCCTGCACCGTAATGTGCCCTAGTCCCATCTGTGCTGTTGAGAATGACAGGATCCCTCCTCCCCAGCTTCCATGCCACTGGCGAGTGCTCCCGGGGTACGCTTCCACGGGATGCAGCCCTGTCTCTTTTCTGTTTTTCTTCTGACGTAGGGTCTCACTGAGGAGCCTGGATGGGGCTGGAATTTGTGATCCTCTTGCCTCAGCCCCTCTCAGAGCTGTGACTCAGCGTGTAGCACCACACCTGGGTAGCACCCTGTTCCCTTTCTGCGGGGGAATATTACTACCTTATATGTTCGCGTCACACCGCCTTCATTCATTCATCTTCTGCGGGGTGGGTAGCTTGATTTCCTGCCTTGGCGTTTTGAGTTGTCCTTCCTTGTGAATAGTGCAGGTGTCCCTTCATGCCCAGCTTCGATTCCTTTGCATTGAGGCCTGGTGGTGGCATGGTGGGGTCACGTGGCAGGTCTGTGTTTCTGCACTGTTTTCCATGGCTGTGTTCATTTCTACTCCCACCAGCACTGTGTATGAGCTTCCGTCTCTCCACACCGCCCCAGCTCTGGTTGTCTTTCACCTTTTAATGAACCCTTTGTAAGCACTGTGAAGTGATGTCTCATTTTGGTTTCAATTTGCAATTTTAACTGGCACCCAGGTGTGCTCTGCCAGCTGGCCTGGTTCCAGGGTGTGCACTGGCTTTGTGGGGTGTAGCTGGCAAGAGGAGAGCCTGTTGCACCCTGAGAATGCATAGCCTGCTGCTGACTTTGATGGTTTTGATTGGAAATGTTCTTTTAAAAATAATGCATTCAGTGGAGCCTTTTAGAAGTGTTACACAAGAGAACGCTAGTGTAGCTTTTGTCTCTTTGTGTGCCCCTAGATTCCTGGTTCCTTTCTCCCAGTACCTCGGCACTAACGATATCCATCCAGTTCCCAAAGATGAGCAGGCACCAGCATCATGTAGATCCCAAACATTGCCATGCTAGCTGTTAATCAAATCCTAGATAGCTGGAAGGAGATGGACAGTTGGCTGTTTATGTATGTGGTGCAGGGCCTCTCTGCACAGCTTGGACTTGTAGTGATCCTCCTTTTTTCAGCCTCCGCAGCACTGGGATTACAGGCGTGCAGCACCACACCTGTCTTGGTGGCTGGATCAGCATGCCTGAGGGCAGGGCCAGCGTGGCGTGTGGTGCCAGGGATCGAACCCTGGTCCGTGTGCTTGCGACAGTTGATGTGTTGTAACACATCAGATCATCTCTGGGCACTGTGGAGACAGAGGATCAGGGCGAGAGAACAGAAAGCACAGGCCAGGTGGCTTCAGATGTCCTGGGCACCTTGGTGGCCAGGGGGTCAGCACACCTCATCTCAGCAGGCGGGGCTCCAGAGGTGGAAGCTTTGGCCCACCTCACGCCGTTTATTTGGTGCCTATTGTGTGGGGTTCCCAATGAGGAGCAGCATCTCTTGTGGAAGCGCCCTGATCCCGGCTGTCCTCCCCCACGCGTGTGCACCGCAGGCTTACCGGCTGTCCCGAGGGCGAGTGTGGGCCATGATCCTCATGCTGTGTCTCATCGCCGCTGTCCTGTCTGCCTTCCTGGACAACGTCACCACGATGCTGCTCTTCACTCCAGTGACCATAAGGTGCGCAGAGCGACCCCATGGGTGTCCCACGGCTCACGGCAGGGGTGGGTTGTGACCACACCTACACCTCCAGGCTCTCTTCTCAGCGCCCCCTAGTGCATTCAGACCAGCGCTGGCTTTGTGCTGCTGCGTTGCCATGGCCACGAGGCAGCAGCACCAGGCCAGGTAGAAACTCTGGCCTGGCGTCCTGGGAGGCTGGGCCGCCATGGGGACAGCACAGGCAAGGCTGTCACCTTGTCCCCAAAATAAAAAGAAGGGCCAGGGAGGAGCTTTAGTACAAAGGCCTGGACTCATTTCCAGTAGCATGTGTGCGTGTGTGTGCTCACACACAGGCACACATGTGCACACACGCGCACGCAAACGTGCTCGCACACGCACACACACACACGCACACACCCCTACTTCAATCACCTGACATCTACTTTGTGTCACTAGCTGTTGGGCAGCATCTTTGAAGCTGCATCCAGTCCTGGCCTGCTGTGTCGGTCCCGTCTGAGACTGTGGACCTGTATTGTGCCCACAGTGTGCGTGCTTTATTTTAAGGTGCTTCGTCCATGTTTCAGCCTCAGGCTCCACAGCCTGGGTCCTCCCCAGCTTGGGCCCTCCTTATGCTGGTGCTCAGTTGCCGTGAGGATATGGAGAGTGGGGCCGACGTCCCCTCAGAGGTCCATGGAGAGGGGGACAGACACTAACATGGGTCCCGCTTGGGGTTGAGGGTCTTGTGCTGTGCCAGTATGGTTCAGATCACTAGGTGGCTCATGGCAGCCGACATGCTGAGGATTCCAGGGGACACCTGCTGGACACAATGGCTGGGCATGGAGCACACCAGTCCCAGGCAAGAGGCTGCTGCAGGGCTGAGAAGGGACTCTGGGGGACACTTGTGCTCTGAAGAGCAGTGATGTTTGGAGAGGGCTGAGCTGGCCGTGGGCAGGGAGACGAGAGGGAAGGTGCCCATAGCCTAGAGGTGCACCCTGCAGCGCTCTGGGCCAGCGTCTCCCGTCCTACCAAGATGTGGGCTCTGATCAGCTCCTGGTCACCCTTTCACGAGCCCTATGCACAGGGAGTAGGCCGGGAGAGACAGGACCTCTGTGCTTGGGGTGGCGGTAAAGAAGGGATGAGGCGCATGCACAGGAGGGCTGCAGGAGGCTGACTGCACTGCGCAGGGTGCTGAGCTGGGCCTCCAGGGCCTCCAGGGGTCCATCTGCCCTGCTCTGGTGTGTGTGACCTACTGCTGATGGCAGTCACTTTTTCCTAATTTTGTGGGCGAATCAATTCCATTTATCTATCTAAAAAGTACACCTTCAAGACTCAGGTGCTAGCTGGGTATCTTGGTTACTTTCTCACTGCTGGGACCAAATCCCCAAGACCCAAAGCTGAAGGGGGAAAGCTTTACTCAGCTCACAGTGTGTGGAGGTTTCAGTCCGTAATCAGCTGGCTCCAAAGAAGCTTGGCACATGGCAGAGGGCAGCAGTTCATGGTTCCCAAAGGCAGCCAAAAGCAAGAAGGGACAGCACAACAAGACTCTGTGTCCCCCATAGTGTATACAGGCTGTTGGCCGCATTCACACCCTTCATCCTAGCCAGCGTGACGCCAAGCGAGTCAGTGGGCTGACCAGTGGTCACACCCTTTGGGTCCCAGCATTGCGTGCTGTGGATCCAGCCACCTCTGACAATGCCCAATGCCTGCATGAGGCTTTGGGGCACCTGTCAACACAAAGGCCAGCTTGGGCAACTAAACCAGACCTTGTCTTCAAGTGTAGCAGCAGATGACAGTGAGTGAAGCTAAGCCCCCACAAGAGACCACGTGCGAAAGAACAAGGAAGCTCTCATTGCGAGCTCACGACCGACTGAGACCTTGGCTTTGGGGCACGGCTGCCAAAGTTGAACTTTGCTTTCAGCTATACACTTTTTAGGTTTCCTTAGTAACCCCATTACCTCGTTTCCAGGAATGTTTACATTTCCCGGACACTGTTGACCGTCCCTCTGCCACGGGCCAGTGTGGCTTAATGTCTGCCCTACTCCCAAGTTGTCCGAACTGTTCCTATTTTACGACCCTGGCTGTCTCTAAGTGGGTTTGTAGTTAGCTTAAGTGAGCTTAAGTGAGACTCCTTGCCCCATCAAAAGAACAGAAAGTAAAGGCTGGGGACATATGTCAGTGCCCCCTGGATTCTACCCCAGTGACACATGCAAACACACTCGCGCACACGCACGTGCGTGGGCTCAGAGCCAGGGCCAAGAGTGGCTGCTACATCGCTGTGGTCTCTGTGGCCACAGGTCATGCCTTCTGTCTTTGGACACAGTGGCACTGCTCTTCGAGTCCAGCAGCAGGGCCTGCGCTCCAGGGGCAGTCTCTGCGCTGTCTGGCACTGCTGAGCGGTCCATGCGGATTATTTTCACGCCAAAAGCAGCTCCTGGGATATTCCACCCTGAGCACAGCTGCTGCCCAGGGCGCTGTACGCATTACTGGAGACACCCTGCTCCTGGCGGCCAGACTCTGCCCTTCCTGAGCCTGTAGATCTGCTGGGCCTGTCTGCCCTCGCCTGGGTGCAGGGGGCGCCGAGTGCTGGCTCTGCTGGAGCTGACGCAGGTGGTGGCGGGGAGGCCAGAGGCTGCAGCAGGGCTTCGCTGGGAGACCAGCCCCAGGTATGACGGGGGACAGGCGGTGTCTGCATTGCTTTTCATTGCTGAGACACAGACCTGATGCCCATTGCTCTGAGGGGGAGAGGTTCACTTCAGCTGAGTGTGTGGAGCTTTCGGTCCGTAATTGCCTAGAGGTAAAACAAGGGGTCATGGCAGAGGAGAAAGAGCCCAGAGCCTGGCTGCAGGAGGCAGCGGGGATGGCAAGAGGTGGGAAGAGATGAGCTCCAGGGCACACTCCAGTGACCCAGTTCTTCCAGCCAGATCCTGCCTCTAACCAGCAAGCCAGCTCAGTGCCCGGTAAACCACTCACCTTCCCAGACCCCACCTGTGAGCGCACGAGGCTTTGGGGGGACACTGTGGATATAAACCACAACAGGCAGTGAGGAAGGACAGGTGCAGAGAATTTGGGGGTGTGCTACGTACATTTAAATGTTTATCAGTGCATGTTTATAGCGCACGATGTTCACGTTCTCACAGAGAGTTGGCGCCTGTATGTGGCCTGCCTCCGTTCCTCGCACCTCCCTCCCTCCTTCCCCTCTCCTTCTCTTGCCCTCCCTCCATCCCTTAGTCCCCTCTCATTTGTGAAAGCTCATTTCCCTGTTTCCTACCATCTGTCTTTCAATTTGTTTATGTCTTGAGTTTCTCCTGTAAGAGAGACCTTGTGACATTGAAGCTTGTGTGCCTGGTATAGTTCATGTCCCATCATGGACTCAAGGGGCACCCATTTTTCTACCAGTGACTGTTTTCTCTGGAGGAGTGTTTCACACCTGTGTCTATGGCCTCCTGGGGCACCAAGACTTGCTGCTAGCGTCCTTCCCATGGGTTGACCTGCTGCAGGCAAAAACTGGGCCACAGCACATGGTCCTTCTCAAGGGAGTGAGTCAGTACTGAGCAATTCAGAGAGGGGGCAGGCAAAGGCCCAAGTGAGCAGGCCTGGTGTGTGTACCAGTGATTTCTGCACTGCCTCTACCCCACCTGAGATGGGTCAGGTGGCCGAGGCCCATTTGCCTGGGCTGGGCGCTAGACTCCATCCGGGTCCTGGAGGTGACAGTGTGGGGAAGTGGATGGGTATAGCACCACCCTGATGTTTCAGAGTATGGCAGGTTAGATTCTGGAAGAAATGGAAATCTGAAAGTCTGTGCTAGCTGATGGGTATCATTGTGTTGCTTGCCTCCCAGTGTTGTACTTCTCACAGGGTGTGTGCACGCGCGTGTGTGTGGTGGGGCTGCTTCACTTTTCTCCACTGGTTACAGGTTATGTGAGGTGCTCAACCTTGATCCAAGACAAGTCCTGATTGCAGAAGTGATCTTCACAAACATAGGAGGAGCGGCCACAGCCATCGGGGACCCACCCAATGTCATCATCGTCTCCAACCAGGAGCTGCGGAAGATGGTGCGTAGAGGCAGGGCTTCTCCCTGTGAGGGCAGAGCCGCCTGCGTGCTCAGCTGGCCACTCACCACATTCCCACAGCACTAGCGTCCTTCACTAGCCTTCACTAGGAATCCAGGCTCTGTCTGGTGCCTGGATGCCCTTCTCAAATGGATAACTTTTTAAAGAAGTGATTGGATGACATGATTTCTTTAGTCATAATATATTAATTGTATTAGTAGGAGTGAAGTTGTTTCTGATATTAAGATCAAAATGCCTTAGGGGCCGGGAAGATGGCTCAGTGGAATAAGCACTTCCCTGGCAAGCGCAAGGGCTGGAGTTCAATCCCTGGTTCCACACACACAAAAAAAAAATCCTGGTTCTGCAAAATGCCCTGTCCTCTTTTATTGGAGATGTGGGATTTCCTTCTCAATTCTTGTAGAAGAATTTAAATGTTAAAGAGCTCAAGCTGTTGTAAAGGTCAGAAAATGAAGATCTCAACTTCTTGGAATGATTAGTCATAGGTATTCTTTCATACAATAAAAAGTACTTAATTGTATTTAAAAGATTGCAATGTACTTAGGTAATACCTAAAGAGTTAAAATTAGATCTCTATCATTTTTACTTATTCTTGGGTCATAAGAATTTTCTAAATCTTCTTTTTGGGGAGTAGATTCAACTTATAGGAATTTTGATCTGAATTACAGTAAAAACAACATATAAAAATGTATTGGAGCCCTTAAAACAAGAGTCAGCAAGCCTTTCCTACAGGGCTGTGGTAAGTGTTACGAGCTGTGGGCTGGTGACCCCTGTGGCAACTGTCCCGTTTTGTCGTTAGAGTAGGGAGCAGGCACTGTGCAGGGACCATGCTGGACTGCAGCTGGAGGGCTGCCCTCTGTCCCTGCTCAAGGCAGTATTTAAAGGGTAGAAGGTTAGGGATGTCCCGTAGTTACTGCGGTCGGATCAGGTCTGCAGTCTCGCAAGCAAGTGTACAGGAGGAGGATGGAACAATTTCTGCGCTCCAGGAGGCTCAAAGCCCTCTCACAGAATTCAAGATCTCTCTGGAATAAGACCTAGACCTTGCCTGGGTGGCCTGAGTCTGTTTAGTTGTCAGGGCAAAAAGGGGTGTCCTCAAGAAGGTCGGAACCCCGAAAGGACCTCTCCGAGTAAGGTATCAAATTAGCCCACCCAGGAGTGAGGTGCCCGAGGCTGTCTTTGTCTAGGTGAGAGTGGCTCCAGGTGGCCTTGGCTGTGACCTTGTCTTACCCTTTGAGGCTTTCCTATGTCACCTGCCATTACAGGCCTCAGTGGGGACCAGTGGCTCACAGAGGTTCACTTACTGAGTCTGCCGACCATCTGCAGGCAGAGGACCCAGGCCTTGGACAGACTCTTAGGAAAGTACACATGAAAAGCCCTTTAGTTAATTTGAATCCTGCTCAGGGCTGCTCCACAGTGGTCTCCATCGGAAGGGTGATTTGTGCCCCTGACCACTCACATTAGACGGGAAGTGTCTCATATCCGTGACTGCAGAAAACCGAATCTTTCAGCTGCTTTTCTGGCAGCAGTCTCCTCCGTTCTCTATGGGGTGGCAGTTTTAACAGTGTCACTCTGGCCATGGTCTTTCTGGCCACGTACTCTCCTTTGTGAGTATTCGCCCTCCACACCTCTGGTACTGTGGTCTTGGGTTCTCTGTTTTCCATCCTTTTCCCTCAGGCCAGTGTTCTCTGTAGGAGGGAGCCCCCCTGTGGCTTGTTTTGTTCTGCATACTGGGCTCTCCTACCTCACTGTGTGCCATGGGCTCTTGCTTTCATTAGGCTTGGGTGGCTGCACCTGCGACGTGCGGGGCTGGACCCTGACAGGCCCCATGCGTTTCCCCTCTCTCCCGTCTGTCTTCACACCTGTCCAGAGAGTCCAGACCTAGTGTCCAGACTGGGTTCTGTGTACATTATACATTATATTTATCAAGACATTCAGTTTGCAGCAGCCGATGGTGAAAGCATTTCTTGAGTTTTGAGAGGCATGCACGCAGCAAGCTCTGTGGGGACACATTCCCCGCCAATGTGCATCTGCCTGTTCTGCTCTTATGGTTAGCGGTGTGGATTTCCCACCCTGAAGTACTCTTCCTTGCAAAGCCGCCCAGCACGGCTTCGGGAGCAGCAGACTTCGACGCAGTGCTGGGACCTTGCTGGGTCGCCTGCCAGGACCTCCTTAAGCCTTTGTTTTCATTTATTTGTGCGTCAGTGTTTTCTTCAGTTGCCCTCCATTTCTAACGGGCAGACCCCAAATTCAGAATGCAAATCCTTCCACCTTTGTGAGTCATTTCCCCTAAAAAAATCAAGTTACATTTCATACACTATTTGGTAAAAAGACAGAGGCTAACACTACACTTTTAACCATACTCTCTGACCCCAAAGCTCACTTTTTTTTTTTTTTGCTTGTGATTTTAGAATAAACTAAAACATTTCATAAGAACATAAATGTATCATAGACCTTTTCTTAACAGATATCTGGGCTATAAATTTTATAGATAAATACAAAGTTATATTTCATTGAAGAACTCCCTGAATAATACAGATTATCAGAAAAATAGTGAATTCTCTCTCTCTCTGTCTCTTTCTTCTTTAAAGAGAAAAAACAAAAATAACAATGAAACAGTAATATATTGTATATTGTTATCTTCATAGTAGATATTCAGAGTATAAGCTATAGGCATGAAATATTGTCCAAACAGTTAGCTCAAACCTTTCTGTTGACGAACTAAAAGAAACCAGCCGTAGGACTATTTTAACAATCTTGTGTGTGTGTGTGTGTGTATTTTTTTTTTTTTTTTGGTTCCTTCTTTTCTTTCCCCAACATAGTTTCATAGTTTCTCTTTTCTTTTGAATAGTTTCTTCCCAGTTCACAATATCTATTTCATATTTTGATTCTTTTTTGGGGGGGAACCAGGGATTGAACTCAGGCCCCTGCGCTTGCCAGGCAAGCGCTTATTCCACTGAGCCATTTCCCCGGCCCCTTCGAATCTTTTTAGCGTTCAGTCCCTCACACTAGTGAGACAGTCCAATATTTACATGAGGCCCTGGTTTATTTTACTCACGAGTACAGTCCCAAGTTACAGCCCTTTACCTACAAACTCTCAAGTTCATCCTTCTTTACGGCTGAATAGTACTCAATTATATTAAAGAAAACCACACATTTTTTTAATCCATGCCTCAGTTGATGGGCATTTGGGTTGTTTTCAAGATGTAGCTATGACAAATTGTGCTGCTGCAAAAATGGGTGCATCTGTATTGTTGTGGTATGATGTTTTTAATACAAATACCCAGAAGGGGATTAGCTGGGTGGGGTGCAATTTCTAATCTTAAGGTTTTTTTTTTTTTGCCTTTTTGTGACAGGCTCTCCCTGTGCAGTTCAGGCTGGCCATGAGCTCACTTTGTAGCCCAGGCTGGTCTCAAACTCACAACAATCCTCCTATCTCAGCCTCCTGAGTGCTGGGATTACAGGTGTGTGCCGCCACACCCAGCTCTAATCCTAGTTTTTAAAGGAATCTCCACACTGATTTTTACAGTGCTTGCACCAGTCTACACTCCCACCAACAGTAGAGAAGGACTCCTTTTCCCCCACAACTCCGCCAGCATTTGTTATTGGTTGATTTCTTGATGGTAGCCTTTCTTTCTGGACATGGAATCTCAGCAGAGTTTTCTTTTGCATGTCTCAAACGACCAATGATATGGAACATTTTTCATCTCTTTGTCATTTGTATTTCTTCACTGGAGAGGTGTGTATTCATCTCTGATGCCCATTTTTAGATTGGATTTTTGGATTTTAGGGGTCTGATTTTTTTCAATTCTTCATATGTTCTAGAAACAAGTCTTTGGTCTGAGAGACAACTGGCTAATGCTTTTTTCCTACTGTGTGGTTTTCTTTTCACTCTATTGGTGATTTATTTTGTTGTTCAAAAGCTTTTTAATAAGGTGAGATCCCAGTTGTTGATTCTTTGTAGTATTCCCTGTGCAGTCTGGGTTCTGTTCATGAAATCTCTGCCTATCCTTATGTCTTCAAGATTTCTCCCCCTCTCCTCTCCTCCTCTCCCCCTCCCCCTCCCCTCTCCTCCTGTCCCCTCCCTTCCCCTCTCTTCTCCTCCTCTCCTCTCCTCTCTTCTCTTCTCTCTCTCTCCCCT